CTACAACCCTTCAAAGGTTGACGCCCTAGGTCGCAAAATCGTCGCAGAGTTCATTTGGTGACCTCCTTCCATCATCTATACCCTCAAGTCTGAATGGTGACACGCCCATGATAGTCTCGTGGAATGTAGATGACTAACAAATATACGACGTATCCGACCAACCAAGCGTCGAAACAGAGTAATTTACACCAAAGATAATGACATTCAAATAGTAATTTGAAACTTGAAATGCCTTTATTCGTGCAAGTCAGTTTAACAACTACCCTCTGATACACAGTTGGCTGATCCTCACTAAACTGACCAATATCTTTCGTCCTTTCAAACGGACTGATACTAGAATAGTCATAGCATAATACACGTGAGTTCATGGAAGTCACCTTCAATGTGGATGACAACACCAATAGTGACTGACTGATACCAGTCGATGAACTTAGTGGTGCATCAGAAGCTGTCGCTGTCCGACCTTTAGAAGGTCATCTAACTGTAGGATTACCACCACTGCTATCTTTTATTATTAGTTCCAGTTCAGCTTTAGCATCAGTCGATAGGCGGGCCACACGCTGATCATTTATACCGACGGCCTCGCGAGTATCCACACCTCCCGCCGCGTCTGAATTTAACCCTATTTCACGTCCAAGTTGTACAGAACTTTTGTTCAACTCAGCAGTAGTAGGCATTCTGCTCATCTCATCATGATCAACAATAGACAAATGTGCTGTATCATGAACGTTATCACAAATATTCGCTTTACCGTTGTCTATCTGGTCGAAATCATCATTTTCAAACTCTTTAATAACAGCAGAAGATAATTTAAGTTCTTCTTGATAAATCCTTAGAGGTTTTATACCTTCACTCTGAATAGTAATACCTTGTAAACTTGTGGAGTCAGAACTGGACTCTAGGGTTGGAATGCGATATACTGGCAAGCTTGCTCAAAGCTTGGTTGACACTGTCTTTCACCAGGCTCACAATATCATCCAACCCAGGCTCTAAACCCCCTTCTTCTACACGGAAGCTGATCTTTATCAACTTTCTTTGCAGATGAACTGGTAATCTCTTGGCGACAGTTTCAAGCATGGGACTTGCATTCAATTTATCTACGCAATTCAAAGACATAAAAGTATTTCTATATGCCATTAAACTGTGCGAAAACTCTGCGAATTCTTCTGAATTATTGTTTAATTGCCATCCAATACCTTTCCCGATCTCAAAAATACTACGGGATATCATAGATGGTTTTCCAAAACTTTGACGTAGTGTCCTCATAACCTCTGTATATCGGGGACATAAACCTGCAGCACTGTATGGCTATTGCAGCTACATTTAAGTACAGAGGTTCAAACTTGGGTAGTCTTAAAGCACTACTATCCCTAAACAGCGAAGCGTGAACATCAGACTCATCATGTTGAGCATGATACATACCATTACAACTAACAGGCAACTCATCGTTACTTCCTTTCTTGTCTGCTTCCATGGTGCCAAGTCCCTTCCGTGACCCGGGCACTATCCAACGTCACCAAAGGATCCAAAATTGGTTGATAATCCGCGTCCAAAGAGAAACTGGCTGCAGATCCAGTAAATACATCCGGATGAGTTACAAAACGTGCTTCAGAAAAAGAACATTAGAATAAAAACTACCACAGAAGACGCTCCGGAAAACAGATAAAAACTGTCAAGGGACTTATCCCTAAATTCCTATTGTTACAATGACGCTCCGCACCGATAAAAACTATGTACTTTCTTGGACTTTAACTCCAAAACACCCGTATTGTAAGAAGGAAGTTATATTGTTAGGCAATTAAATTGGAGAATGGCGAAGTCTATAAACATATGTTACATAAAATATTATTCACTTTTATTTGTTTTTCGTCGTCCTCTTCGAGCAATCTTTAGACGGCCGTAATTTTGAGTGACCTACAATGATATAAGCAAGCGATTTGCTCGCTTGTGATCGGCCTGTTTTTCATTCGAGTTGAGGTAAATTCAAACGTCATTTTTGTAAGGTATGCTAAGTTTGGCGGTTTTCTAATGTTCAAACCATGCTTGTCTACTTTCAGGTTGGCTGCGAAGTATGCAGGGATTGGTTACCCAAGACGAGGCAACGGATGACCAATAGGAGTGCCCTTCCCTCTTATCTAATTGTATTGCGATTGGTTGTAAATATAATACTTGACCTTGAGTCTTCGTTCTTACTAGCACGCAACACTTGTGTGATCACGCTGCTAACGTGCGCTTTGCTCTCTGTTTCAGATCATTGCTTGACGAGTGGGATTACATAAATGGCGAGCCTGCCAACGAAAAAACTTTCTTCTTCCAAGTCTCGACCCAATGAGGCTTCCAAGAACACTTCGCCTGTCAAAGAGACAGCATCCAACGAGGTGGATCAATTAGCTGAAGTGAGGGCTCCAGCTTTTCAGTCAAATCAGCCTGCTTCGCGATATGTCCATCCCTTGCCGCATACACTGGAGGTGGGTGATGATTTCGAGCTGTGGTCGGACAAGGTGTGCCGATACATTGATCTGATGAACGTGCCTCACCCGAACGCATTCGTCATCGATTCTGTTGGACGGTCCTTGGAAATGTACACAATTGGTTTGGATTACGTGCATATGCCCTTGACCACCCTGTTGAGTACTCTAAGAGCACGTATAGTGCCACCAATACCTCCCATTGAAGCGCTGAAAAGATTCAGCGAGTGTAACCAGAGACAAGGTGAATCTATCAACCAGTTCACCTTACGTCTCCGCAAGCTTGCGCGTCAAGCTATGCAGGACAAGACATATTCAGAGGTTGAAAACGCTATATATTCCAAGTTCTTGCAGGGTGTCGACGTCCGTTACAGGAAGGACTTCAACTTGCACACTCCAGCATCCATGGCAGAAGCGGAAGCTAGGGCACGCCTAGTGGAAAGCCTGGAAGAGCCAGGAACCACATGCCCACAAGTAAACGCAATGGGATATCAGCACACAACAACAAAGCATGCACAGAATCCTACACCACCGTGGAAAGGACGCCCACAGTCGCAATCCACTTCAAGAAACGATTGCTACTACTGCAGGCGGTTTGGTAAGCTTGCTAGGAGTTGTGGTCACAATGCAGGTGAGTCACATGTCGATATGAATTGTGTGCCTACTGTAAACCTAATCGGTGTCACCTCCTCCCCGAAAGTTGTAGGTTATATAGGTGGAAAAAAGTGTGTTATGTTAGTTGACTCAGGAGCAACTTGTTCTGTCATACATTCCTCATGTGTTCCAGAGACGTTTAGGCGAACAATAGGGACTCACAATTTGCGGCTTACGACAGCCAATGGAGATTGCATGCAATCCCAGGGACTGGTCCTGCTGCCACTTAAATTGGGAACACTGTCACTTCAACACAATTTCATCATCTCTACCCGGGTGCCGTGGCAGGTAATCTTGGGAGTCGACCTCCTGGAAAAGCTGTCCGGAATAATAGATTGTAGTCAGAGGACTCTTATACTGAAGGACTGTTCCATCCCATTTATTGTAGGGAACGACAAAGAGCACGGCACTTTTGGCGTGCAGGGAGATGCTAAGAATGAGAAACAGCGAATGCTGACGACTATAGAACCCCTACCATCGGAAACGGCTGCCAACTTTAATAAAATGCTAGACAAATATGAGGACTGTTTTGACTGGGATGGAAAAAGCCCGGGAAGAACAAAACTGGTCCAACATCACATAGAAACGGGTAACGCCCCACCTTGTAGACAACCTGCACGGCGAGTACCTGCACATTACCAGAAGGAGCTTAACAGGTTAGTTGATGAACTGTTAGAGAAAAATGTCATCAAACCATCCGTATCTCCATGGGCTTCACCGGTAGTTTTAGTTAAGAAATCGAATGGGACACTCCGGTTATGTGTAGATTATCGTAAGTTGAACCTGTTAACTAGACGAGACTGCTTTCCCCTTCCACGCATAGACGACACTTTTGATGCCTTAGAAGGGTCGAATTGGTTTACCACTCTAGATCTGGCATCGGGATATTGGCAGGTTGAAGTACACCCAGATGACAGGCAAAAGACAGCATTCATTGTACAAGCAGGCCTGTATGAGTTTGAAACAATGCCGTTTGGGTTAGTCAATGCCCCAGCAACATTCCAACGCCTCATGCAAACGGTCTTGAGTGATTGCATACCAGGTAAGTGTTTGGTATATCTAGATGATGTTATCATACATAGTAAGACGTTGACCGAACATTTAAGTGATATTTCCGAAGTATTAGAACGGATGCAGACCGTTGGGTTAAAACTGAACCCATCGAAATGTCAATTCTTCAGGAAAGAAGTGTGTTTCTTAGGTCACATTGTTTCAGCCGAAGGCATTAAATGTGATCCAGCAAAAGTTCAGGAAGTTAAAGACTGGCCGCTCCCAAACTCAGCCCCCGAGTTACATAGTTTTTTAGGGTTAGCCTCGTATTATCGACGTTTTGTACTTAACTTCTCTTTCCTTGCAGCTCCTCTATTCGACATTCTTAAGAAGAAAGACTACAATTGGACAGCATCAGCTACGGAAGCCTTCGAAAGACTTAAAAACTGTTTATGTAGCCCCCCTATCCTAGCGTATCCCAATGTTTCTGACCAGGCAGGTCCATTCATCCTAGATACAGATGCTAGCGACTCTGGTATCGGGGCAGTTTTGTCTCAAAAAGACGCAGATGGAGTAGAAAAGGTGATAGCCTATGCAAGTCGAGCACTCAACAAGAGTGAGAAGAATTACTGCACCACGCGGAAAGAAATGCTGGCACTGGTCAATTTTGTTAAACACTTTAGGGCATATCTCCTCGGTAGACATTTCATTGTACGCACTGATCACAAAGCCCTTAGCTGGCTACATAACTTCAAAGAAGCTGAGGGTCAGATTGCCAGATGGCAAGAACACCTACAAGAGTATGACTTCGAATGCATGCATAGACCGGGTAAGAATCATGGAAATGCAGATGCATTGTCAAGAAAACCTCTTAGGTATCACGGTGACTGCCCATCATGCACCGAAGCACAAGTTTCGCTGCTCCAACTAGAGGCTCATACTTCATATAGTTGGCCTGAACTTCAGTCTTCAGACCCTGAACTGGCCTTGATTTACGAACGTGTTCGAAATGGAGGCGAACGACCGACAACCCAGGAAATAAGTAAGCTTGGATGGGAAACCCGGTGTTTATGGTCTCTGTGGGATAATCTGAAAATTGTCGATGACATCCTCTACTACCAACATGGACCCACTTATACTCGTCGCGTTGTGGCTCCACAGTCGGCACTACCCACAGTACTATTGTCATTACACCAGCAGTTAGGCCACGCGGGCTCAGGGAAAATGATTGAAGCGGCTAAAAGACGTTATTGGTGGCCTCACCAGAGGAAAGACATCATAGATTTCTGTGACTCCTGCGAGGTATGCCAAACTATTAAGGCTCCGCACAAATATAATAAGGCACCCTTAGAACCCATTATAACTGGCCATCCGAATGACTTAGTACAAATAGACTTGGTTGGACCTCTCCCAGTAACTTCCAGAAATAATAACTATATTTTAGTCATGGTAGACCATTTTACCAAATGGTGCGAGGCTATTGCGATCCCACAGATTGATGCTGTAACCATCGCAGAGTCAATTTTTGACCACTGGGTCAGCCGTTGGGGGGCACCACTTCAACTGCATTCAGATCGAGGATCCAACTTTGAAAGTATCGTTGTCAGCGAACTCTGTCGTATAATGGGTATCCGGAAGACACGCACTACCGCGTACCACCCACAGGGAAATGGCTTGGTTGAACGCACCAATCGGACACTTAAATCCCTCTTGCAGGCATTTGTAGATCAAAACAACCCCAGGGAATGGGACCGATCACTCTCACAGTGCTTAATGGCATACAGAGCAAGCATTCACAAAGCTACGCGTCAAACGCCTCATTATATGGTCACTGGAAGAGAACTCCGGTTGCCAATCGATCTGACTTCAAACACACTAGGAGAGGATACACTGATTGCATCCGAACACGTAATCAGACTTCGACGAAACCTGAACAAGGTACATCAGATGACTAGGGATATACTCCAAACAAACCAGAGGTACCAGAAAGAATACTATGATAGGAAAGCACATGGATCACCAGTGGAGCCAGGAGACAAGGTGATGCTACTTAAGGAGGCACCACCTAAAGGGAAAGCTCTTAAATTCCATAAACGCTGGGAAGGACCATTCACTGTAGTAGAGGTACTAAGTGACTGCACCTGTAGGATTCAGGAACCGAATTCCTCTCATAGTCTAGTCACACACTTCAATAGACTAAAACCTTTTCGACAACAGGCCTTAGTTCAGACAAGTCCCGCAGGAACAGTCACCTAGCACTGCGGACAGTGCTCCTATGGGAGAGGGGGTAGTGTAAGGCATGGTAAGTTTGGCGGTTTTCTAATGTTCAAACCATGCTTGTCTACTTTCAGGTTGGCTGCGAAGTATGCAGGGATTGGTTACCCAAGACGAGGCAACGGATGACCAATAGGAGTGCCCTTCCCTCTTATCTAATTGTATTGCGATTGGTTGTAAATATAATACTTGACCTTGAGTCTTCGTTCTTACTAGCACGCAACACTTGTGTGATCACGCTGCTAACGTGCGCTTTGCTCTCTGTTTCAGATCATTGCTTGACGAGTGGGATTACATAAATGGCGAGCCTGCCAACGAAAAAACTTTCTTCTTCCAAGTCTCGACCCAATGAGGCTTCCAAGAACACTTCGCCTGTCAAAGAGACAGCATCCAACGAGGTGGATCAATTAGCTGAAGTGAGGGCTCCAGCTTTTCAGTCAAATCAGCCTGCTTCGCGATATGTCCATCCCTTGCCGCATACACTGGAGGTGGGTGATGATTTCGAGCTGTGGTCGGACAAGGTGTGCCGATACATTGATCTGATGAACGTGCCTCACCCGAACGCATTCGTCATCGATTCTGTTGGACGGTCCTTGGAAATGTACACAATTGGTTTGGATTACGTGCATATGCCCTTGACCACCCTGTTGAGTACTCTAAGAGCACGTATAGTGCCACCAATACCTCCCATTGAAGCGCTGAAAAGATTCAGCGAGTGCAACCAGAGACAAGGTGAATCTATCAACCAGTTCACCTTACGTCTCCGCAAGCTTGCGCGTCAAGCTATGCAGGACAAGACATATTCAGAGGTTGAAAACGCTATATATTCCAAGTTCTTGCAGGGTGTCGACGTCCGTTACAGGAAGGACTTCAACTTGCACACTCCAGCATCCATGGCAGAAGCGGAAGCTAGGGCACGCCTAGTGGAAAGCCTGGAAGAGCCAGGAACCACATGCCCACAAGTAAACGCAATGGGATATCAGCACACAACAACAAAGCATGCACAGAATCCTACACCACCGTGGAAAGGACGCCCACAGTCGCAATCCACTTCAAGAAACGATTGCTACTACTGCAGGCGGTTTGGTAAGCTTGCTAGGAGTTGTGGTCACAATGCAGGTGAGTCACATGTCGATATGAATTGTGTGCCTACTGTAAACCTAATCGGTGTCACCTCCTCCCCGAAAGTTGTAGGTTATATAGGTGGAAAAAAGTGTGTTATGTTAGTTGACTCAGGAGCAACTTGTTCTGTCATACATTCCTCATGTGTTCCAGAGACGTTTAGGCGAACAATAGGGACTCACAATTTGCGGCTTACGACAGCCAATGGAGATTGCATGCAATCCCAGGGACTGGTCCTGCTGCCACTTAAATTGGGAACACTGTCACTTCAACACAATTTCATCATCTCTACCCGGGTGCCGTGGCAGGTAATCTTGGGAGTCGACCTCCTGGAAAAGCTGTCCGGAATAATAGATTGTAGTCAGAGGACTCTTATACTGAAGGACTGTTCCATCCCATTTATTGTAGGGAACGACAAAGAGCACGGCACTTTTGGCGTGCAGGGAGATGCTAAGAATGAGAAACAGCGAATGCTGACGACTATAGAACCCCTACCATCGGAAACGGCTGCCAACTTTAATAAAATGCTAGACAAATATGAGGACTGTTTTGACTGGGATGGAAAAAGCCCGGGAAGAACAAAACTGGTCCAACATCACATAGAAACGGGTAACGCCCCACCTTGTAGACAACCTGCACGGCGAGTACCTGCACATTACCAGAAGGAGCTTAACAGGTTAGTTGATGAACTGTTAGAGAAAAATGTCATCAAACCATCCGTATCTCCATGGGCTTCACCGGTAGTTTTAGTTAAGAAATCGAATGGGACACTCCGGTTATGTGTAGATTATCGTAAGTTGAACCTGTTAACTAGACGAGACTGCTTTCCCCTTCCACGCATAGACGACACTTTTGATGCCTTAGAGGGTCGAATTGGTTTACCACTCTAGATCTGGCATCGGGATATTGGCAGGTTGAAGTACACCCAGATGACAGGCAAAAGACAGCATTCATTGTACAAGCAGGCCTGTATGAGTTTGAAACAATGCCGTTTGGGTTAGTCAATGCCCCAGCAACATTCCAACGCCTCATGCAAACGGTCTTGAGTGATTGCATACCAGGTAAGTGTTTGGTATATCTAGATGATGTTATCATACATAGTAAGACGTTGACCGAACATTTAAGTGATATTTCCGAAGTATTAGAACGGATGCAGACCGTTGGGTTAAAACTGAACCCATCGAAATGTCAATTCTTCAGGAAAGAAGTGTGTTTCTTAGGTCACATTGTTTCAGCCGAAGGCATTAAATGTGATCCAGCAAAAGTTCAGGAAGTTAAAGACTGGCCGCTCCCAAACTCAGCCCCCGAGTTACATAGTTTTTTAGGGTTAGCCTCGTATTATCGACGTTTTGTACTTAACTTCTCTTTCCTTGCAGCTCCTCTATTCGACATTCTTAAGAAGAAAGACTACAATTGGACAGCATCAGCTACGGAAGCCTTCGAAAGACTTAAAAACTGTTTATGTAGCCCCCCTATCCTAGCGTATCCCAATGTTTCTGACCAGGCAGGTCCATTCATCCTAGATACAGATGCTAGCGACTCTGGTATCGGGGCAGTTTTGTCTCAAAAAGACGCAGATGGAGTAGAAAAGGTGATAGCCTATGCAAGTCGAGCACTCAACAAGAGTGAGAAGAATTACTGCACCACGCGGAAAGAAATGCTGGCACTGGTCAATTTTGTTAAACACTTTAGGGCATATCTCCTCGGTAGACATTTCATTGTACGCACTGATCACAAAGCCCTTAGCTGGCTACATAACTTCAAAGAAGCTGAGGGTCAGATTGCCAGATGGCAAGAACACCTACAAGAGTATGACTTCGAATGCATGCATAGACCGGGTAAGAATCATGGAAATGCAGATGCATTGTCAAGAAAACCTCTTAGGTATCACGGTGACTGCCCATCATGCACCGAAGCACAAGTTTCGCTGCTCCAACTAGAGGCTCATACTTCATATAGTTGGCCTGAACTTCAGTCTTCAGACCCTGAACTGGCCTTGATTTACGAACGTGTTCGAAATGGAGGCGAACGACCGACAACCCAGGAAATAAGTAAGCTTGGATGGGAAACCCGGTGTTTATGGTCTCTGTGGGATAATCTGAAAATTGTCGATGACATCCTCTACTACCAACATGGACCCACTTATACTCGTCGCGTTGTGGCTCCACAGTCGGCACTACCCACAGTACTATTGTCATTACACCAGCAGTTAGGCCACGCGGGCTCAGGGAAAATGATTGAAGCGGCTAAAAGACGTTATTGGTGGCCTCACCAGAGGAAAGACATCATAGATTTCTGTGACTCCTGCGAGGTATGCCAAACTATTAAGGCTCCGCACAAATATAATAAGGCACCCTTAGAACCCATTATAACTGGCCATCCGAATGACTTAGTACAAATAGACTTGGTTGGACCTCTCCCAGTAACTTCCAGAAATAATAACTATATTTTAGTCATGGTAGACCATTTTACCAAATGGTGCGAGGCTATTGCGATACCACAGATTGATGCTGTAACCATCGCAGAGTCAATTTTTGACCACTGGGTCAGCCGTTGGGGGGCACCACTTCAACTGCATTCAGATCGAGGATCCAACTTTGAAAGTATCGTTGTCAGCGAACTCTGTCGTATAATGGGTATCCGGAAGACACGCACTACCGCGTACCACCCACAGGGAAATGGCTTGGTTGAACGCACCAATCGGACACTTAAATCCCTCTTGCAGGCATTTGTAGATCAAAACAACCCCAGGGAATGGGACCGATCACTCTCACAGTGCTTAATGGCATACAGAGCAAGCATTCACAAAGCTACGCGTCAAACGCCTCATTATATGGTCACTGGAAGAGAACTCCGGTTGCCAATCGATCTGACTTCAAACACACTAGGAGAGGATACACTGATTGCATCCGAACACGTAATCAGACTTCGACGAAACTTGAACAAGGTACATCAGATGACTAGGGATATACTCCAAACAAACCAGAGGTACCAGAAAGAATACTATGATAGGAAAGCACATGGATCACCAGTGGAGCCAGGAGACAAGGTGATGCTACTTAAGGAGGCACCACCTAAAGGGAAAGCTCTTAAATTCCATAAACGCTGGGAAGGACCATTCACTGTAGTAGAGGTACTAAGTGACTGCACCTGTAGGATTCAGGAACCGAATTCCTCTCATAGTCTAGTCACACACTTCAATAGACTAAAACCTTTTCGACAACAGGCCTTAGTTCAGACAAGTCCCGCAGGAACAGTCACCTAGCACTGCGGACAGTGCTCCTATGGGAGAGGGGGTAGTGTAAGGCATGGTAAGTTTGGCGGTTTTCTAATGTTCAAACCATGCTTGTCTACTTTCAGGTTGGCTGCGAAGTATGCAGGGATTGGTTACCCAAGACGAGGCAACGGATGACCAATAGGAGTGCCCTTCCCTCTTATCTAATTGTATTGCGATTGGTTGTAAATATAATACTTGACCTTGAGTCTTCGTTCTTACTAGCACGCAACACTTGTGTGATCACGCTGCTAACGTGCGCTTTGCTCTCTGCTTCAGATCATTGCTTGACGAGTGGGATTACATTTTGCTGCTTGGTTAAGTTCTGAATTTCCAGGAGCGTTTTATCGAATTGGATAGATAACTGACAACACAAACTACTACAGCTCAGGAGAAAAATCATATAGCAGTGGATTTATTTGCTGAATTCAACGAATTCATGCCAAATTAAGATCTAAGGACTTCTCAGGAGTGTCAAGAATGCAAACAGTGTTCTGAAGAGGTTATAAGTTCACGCCCATTCAATTATCGCTTGACCATTATCTTCAGAGGTCCTTAAATAAGTATAATATACACAGTGGTCTGGTTAATCATGATTAAAACGGCATAGTTGATGCAGCATATACGTATACTTATGTATATATACATACATATATGTAAGTGAACCTAGATAATCTGTGTTCTTGTCATGAAGACAGGAAAGCAGGTATCAGTGTAACAACAGAAGACAAGGGCCAGGCAACAGATCGTTTTATTATGAAAATCAACACGTATTTATACATCTTTCAACTACATTATTATAGACAAGCGCAGTCATCTGATTGGTTGTTTAGGTAGACAAACGCAGGCTTCTGATTGGTTGTTTCGGGATTCCTTGACAAATAGAGTTCTCTATCTGCGAATCATATTTTGCCACGTTAACTTTGCTGTGATTGGTTGTTGACTCAGGCTTGTTCACGGCCCATATTAGTGACCTAGACCTTAACGTAGATTAGTGCCAACCAATCGGCTAGCAGCCTGCTCTCACCACATCAGGTGTCTCAGTAAGCAGTGTAATACATGTAAGGTACATGTTTTTATTTGACATAAACTGGATCTTCACTCACTTTCAGAATTAATCTTAAATTCAGTTGGAATAAGCTGGTTGAGCACATCAGTATTGAGAGAATACAGTGAAAGTAAGTAAACACATGCTTCTTAAGATTAAGTGATAAATTTATTTGGTATGGTTGTATTATTATTAGTTGTCTATCTAAGTTAATGATGAATTCGTTGCGATAATAATACCTATTATTGTTTTTTATAGTCACTATGAACATGAATGTTATTATTATTGCTGACCTATCATTTGTCATAAAGTCGTTGTCATTTTTGCTAAAATATTTGTACAAACTTTGAAAACTACTGCATTACTTGTCGTTAAATAATTTTAT